AATTCTTTCCCCACCCCTTGACAAATGCATCCTCTGAAAGTGCCTAAAATTCTCAAATTCTTTGCGCGCATTTCTTGTTACGGTAGGCCAGTTTCCTCTATAAATTGCACATTTTAGGGAGTTTTCATCAATTCCTTCGAATTAGAATTAAAAACACAAAAATATTTTGCGCGCCTCGCGCGCATTTTATAGGGCTTTTTAGGTTTATCCTTTTAAGTTATTTAAACACATAATAGTCCCAAACTCAAGAAAGACAAATTTAAGATAGATCGTTTAAACCTAAAAGAAGGGCCTTAATGTGTATTGATGGTGAAAGAATATGTTTGTAAGAAATAAAACCATGATGAAAATGCTTATATTCAGTTTCAAACACACGTGTGTGGCCTATATTATAAATAAGATAAGTCATGTCGTATTGTTTTCTATATGGGGAGTGGGGTGGGGTGTGTATGGTTAATTACTAACCTGAAAAATAAATACCCACTCTGACCCAAGACCCCTGTTATGTGCCTGGTGTTAGCGCCAATGTGTGCCCTTGTGCGGACAGAGCATGTGCCACACCCCCCCCCCTCTGAAGCTTGAAACCTTGTTTTTGCAAAATAAATTGATGCAATTTGCTATTATAGGCCTAATCAATAAATTCCCCATCAACCGATATAACCTTAAACATTCTTGGAATACTGATGTCGTGCACACCCTTCAGTGTGAAATGTGGCCCTCTTTGCAAGCACATCTAACATTAATACATTATGCTAATTTTCATCTTTGTAAGCGCATAAGACAGTGCAAATTATTTCTGTGACAGTCTTTTGAAGTGCGTAAAGCTCCATTTTATCCCATGCATAGTCAAAACATTGGGGGGATGATACAATGGACCACCCTTCCCCCCTTGTCAAATATTGGGGGATATATACCCATCTCCCCCCCCCCCGGATCTACCTACGCCTATGTGGCTATCGTCGCTCAGCACCAATTCCGCCTTCTTCCCCGTGGTCGTCATCATCATCATTATTATAATATTATTACCGTATTCTTACAAAAGTGAATTTACTAGTATTAGAAATACATGTCTTACCACGCCCTGTACTTTGTGAAATGTTTGAGAACAAATCGAAATAGAGGTGCTACAAAGCTTCTCTATCGAACTAAATTGTTTTTCAATAAACGTTCTGTAGTTCCATTAAATTATTCTCGTTTGTTTACATGTGATGACATTATGTAATCCAATGTCACACTGTCAGAACATCCAACTAAATTTCGGAGTAAGAAGACTTTGGGAATGGCATACATCTTTATTGGTCCAATGAATCATGATGAAGGGACTGAAGTTGATCGAACAATTGAATTAATATTGGGCAACCCAGACAAAGTTCAATTGTGTTTTCGAAACGTTAACGGGGTGGCATAATAGGGACGTGATTAGTTGCTGCAAATTATCGTCCTATTGATTAATTTTGGTATAAAGCTTAGCAATAGTATCGACATGTTTTCATTCCCACAACAATTAACATAGGCATAGACCACATAATGACGCATTATATTATATCTGCGTTGCAGACTATTACCAGGCGTTAAGCTGAGCACTTTTGTCTACCCAATCTATGTTCAACAATTTGATTTAGCGCAAACCTTGATAAACACGCTCGGAGCTGCCAACGCTAATAACTAGACGGTTCTCTATCACTATACCCCTAGTGTAGCGTTATCGATTATACAGGTAAGTTAACAATCTGTTGCGAATATGGTGTTAGGACTAGGAATATGTCAAATGGGCTTATTTTATTTATTTAGTGGGCATTATATAACGTCTATCTAGGCCAAGATATTGAGCGCGCGGTTTAGTAGACCACCGGTAGGGGTCCCGGGTATATCCTACCTGGCAGAATGGCACCATCTCGTTTTTGTAATTCACTATTTTATTTGCCAGTTTTAGTCCTCCAGTTGCTGAACAAATCATAAATGACAGAACAAATTGTTCTAACAAAGCAATCACAAAACGGGAAAAAGAGCATGTATCTTCTACATCACTCGTGCTTACAAATAAGAGCTAATCAGCAGTTAGGAAATCCGGAATAGGCCTATGATAAATTTCCTAATCTATGCTGGTCTATAAACGATTAACTTGTGATATTACACAATATTATTTATATTTCTATTTAAGACATGTAGGCCTAGTAGTTTAACAATTGATTTGATTTTACTATTTCGCTAGATCAAGATAGGTCTGGCGAATGTACGGTGACCGATTCTGCACAGTAGACCTACAAAATGTTTAGTGGGGAGGATGGTTTCTTTTCAAACTTATTCGGTTCAAAACCAGAGAAAGGTGTTACCAAACAGAGGGGTAAGTCGAAAGATAGGTACCACGAGGACCCACCGGACATTCCGGGTGGCTACGATTCGGAAGAGGAGATCAGGATATCACACACTCACCATCATCACACACATGAGGAAAAATCAGACGGTGCGAAATCAACTTTACAGAGCATATTCAAACCATCGTCAGATGAACAGCCTCATAAAAAAGATAAAGGTGATGGCCTAATCTCAAACATGTTAGGTACGAAAGAGAAAGGTGTTACCAAACAGAGGGGCAAGTCCAAGGATAGATACCACGGAGATCCACCACACATTCCTGGTGGTTACGATTCCGAGGAAGAGATTAAGATTAGACATACTCACCATCCCCCATCTAAGGAAAAATCAGGCGATGCAAAAACTAAATTACAGGGCCTAGGCCTATTTAAATCTTCTTCCGATAAGAAACCTCATAGAGACAATGCTTATTTAGCAGAACATGAATCTCAGCCTAACAAGTCACGCGCAAAAGGTGGTGGCCGAGAGACGCCTAAAAAGTCAACATTTGGGACGTTATTTGGAAGTGGCAACGATGCTAAATCAACAAAGAAAAAATCTCAAGATCGCTATCACCAGAAAAACCCGTATGAAAAGTACGAAAAAGAATCAAAAGGAGGACGTGGTGGTAGTGGTGGAAGAAAAGTAGAAGGTGGTGGATGGTGGTCCGGTGGCGGGGGTGGTGGCAGCAGTGGGGAAGCAAAATCTGGAAAATCGAAAGGGCGTTCGGCAGGAAGGGTAAGTTAAAAAATAACGTTTTGTGAAAAGCAGACTCAATTGACAGATTGAAATTGATTTTTTAAAACTGATTAGAATAGAAATTAATCGTAATGATACGGAACCAACTCATGTCAGTAATACATCATAGACATAACCCCACCCCAGTAAACCCACAAAAACCTAACTGCTCGACAGCTTGATAGACAATAAAAACAAACAAACAATATCGGGACCTAATTGGATTTACAAAACGACTGGGTACCATCTACAGTTTTTCTTAGAATAGAGAAAAGTGAGGGGCGTAAGCGTAGTAATGATGGGAAAGAAGAAGGACCGAGACTCTCCCAAAGATATTGCGTCATAGATGCAATGGAGATAAATATGCTAATTATTATTTATCTATATAATAATTATTCCTACTAACTGTTATGGCTATTTAAACGTGTACAACGTTTAATCTTATTACAAAAATCATGATGGAATCAAATTATCCTCATCAACAATAACGTTATCTTTATTATTATGATTTTAATCTTTATTATTTCTGTATTATCATCATCATAATCAACAATATTGTTACAATAATTATCAATATCATCATTAATATTATAGTTTTATTATCAAATTATTATTAAATTGATCATTAGTATCACAGTCTCATTTAACACTTCCTCTCATTTTTTTTCTTTCTAGCAATCTAAAGGTGGAAGTAGTGGTTTCAGTCTCCCTTCATTTTAAGTTCGTCAGAGTCACGTGCTTATCAATATGTGCATCAAATTTCAGAAATCAGCAGCGAGTGTGATAGTGGCTTAAGTTCGACAAAAGGGGTCACGAGTTCAGACATTAAAACACGTTTATAAAGCCGATGACACACTCATCGGTGGCAATCGTCTCTCCTCCCCCCAATCACGGCCAAGTAGTTAAAAATCACCTCAAATCACCTTATTTTGCTAGCTATCACCCCTCACCAGTCATCGAGCCACACATTTGACCTCCACGCACCCCCCCCCCCCCATTTCAAGACTCCTAAGACTGCTACGCTCTTATGATCGATCGAAGGTCAGTCAGCTGACGGCCGTCTGCAAAACCAGCTGATGAATTAAATCCATCGCGGCTTTGTCGTCGGAGCACTTGACGACGCGGCATCGAATGCTGATTTTCGGCGGCAGTAATGTTCAAGCGGATCTTAGTTAAAACCGATCGGTCGCGGTCCTGTTGCCACTGCATTGCCTCGCCGCTTGCTCTGACCATGACGATCGACGCCATGGCTGACACACTGTGTACCCGGTGTTACTAGTATAGGATGATGTACTATGTGTATAAGTCAAAATACTTCCACCTTATTAAACTAATTGTATAATGTATCAATCAAATTTATGTTCAAAATGAATTTTGTGATAGGCAGTTAGATACTGACACCATATGGCAAGCTGTGAAAAATTCATTGGCCGACCTTGCACCTAAGGCTCTGTCCACACTATGCAATTGTATGTGACAAATACCTGAAATTCGCCCATATATGGGTATGACATGACATCATCGTGACTATATTTGGATGTGATATGACATCATCATGTCCATAGGCCTCTATGGGCAATTCACACAAATTTGTCACATAAAACTTGATGGTGTAAGGCTCTGTCCAGACTATCAAATTATAATTGATAGTTTGATGTGACGTCATGCCAAGTATCGTCATAATGACATCACATCACAATGACTATATATGAAAGCGCTTAAATAAAGATTTAATATTCAATGGTGTTGGTTTTACTATTCTGTTGGTCCTGGTTATTGTTAATAGATTTTTTTAAAAGTTTTTCATTTTTATAATTTTAATTTTGCATTTTTCTGTATTCTCTTATACTTTTTCTATTCCGTTCATATAAAACCCTAAATAAAACTTGTTATTATCATATGGGTAGCAGTTGTATTCTTTTTAAGTTAATTCATTAAAATATACATAAATACATACGGCTCTAGAATCTTGAAGTCTGTAGATTACACGGTCAATCCCCAGTAGCAGACAAATTTTATATAAGCCTATAACTTGGTACTATTTCTATCTTCTGTATAATTTTTCTGTGGCAATTGAGTTGAAGACATTTGTTGTGATAAATGCAGGCAGTAGGTAGACATATTATTATAAATGGGCGATCATATACCTCCATGGTCAAAGTTAAGAAAAAGATATAAAACGTAGAGGGCTCACTATAAAAGTTTATTGAAAGTATCTTTCCAACTGTTAATGTTTTGCTACATTTTATTGCTGTAGGTCTTAGGAAGACGACTACGATATAAAAATCATCCTTTGGTGCGGTATTTTCAATGTATAAGGTAATTAAACTATTCAATTTGCCACGGTAAAAGGTATTCAATAAAATTGAATAAGCAGAAATTAGCGTCCTTATTTAATTACACATTATTTTGAACAGATCCTTTAATTGCAGACGTCGGTTTCGATGGTAATATCCATAACTTCACAATTTTATCTATTGTGATTGTGATGTGTTTGCGTCAGGAAAGTGATGTTTTGTCCTACCTGACGTGTTATTGTATTGAATACTCAGTACGTTTCCAAATACGTGCGAAAACAAAAAATCGTGTGTGTGTATGTGTGTGTGTGTGTGTGTCTCTCTCTCTCCCTCATTCTGCCACAATGAAAGTGCAGTTAAAATGTCAGGTCAAAGTCATACATTTTCTTGATCTCAGTGATGATTTTGCAATCTACCAACAACCTGTTTCGGTTTTTTAAGACCAGTATTTTGAAATTGCATCAAAAGCATATTTCTTTACATCAATTCCTGCGTAATATTTCAGACTACCGAGGGTTACACCGGTCACTCCCATGACAATCAACGCTTTCAATGCATTCGTACTCAACTTAAAACCAGGTAACCTAAAAAAAAGGAAAGAATGTATTTCATTTTTTCCCTTATACTGGGTATTCTGTTCAGTAGATATCTACTAGTACAGTCAAGTACAGTACAGTCAACTACCGGTAACATAACAAAGCTCGGGGCGTGGAGTTGTCGTGAGAAAAAGTCCTGTTGCCACGTACATTGAGCACAGCACCCTGGGATTGGAAAGCAAGAATCTTGCCCCCACGCTATTCAACTCTACTTAACACACATTTGGACTGGTTTGTCCCTGATGAATGATTACCGTTAATAAGGTAAGTGAATCCCATTATAGGCCTGCACTGATTTATTGTTAAAGAGGATGAATTATGCAAACCGTTAAACATTGCTAACCTGTATGGGATCGTGGCGTTATAAAGCTTAGAAGAGACTTTTTGTTGAAGGTATACATTTCTGTACATTTCCACGGTTCACTACGATTCGAGTGCGAACATTTTAATAGGCCTAATCAATATTATTATTATTATTATTATTATAACTTGTACCTGTCATCTGCGCTGCGACTATATCCTTCGAAATACAAATGACGTCCATATATATACACAAGACTCACGACGCTGGCAGCAACTACATTAAACAAAAAAGGGGGGAAAAAAATCTGTTAAGCATGTTTGATTCGCAAATTGTGATATCAAATGACGACAAAATTAACCAACCACTGATAGTGCCTAACTTTAGGCCTCTTCAATGGCGGATTCAGATTGTTTTCCGGGAATCTATGGTTCGATCCGAAGGAGGTATAGCATATGGTAGAAAGATGAAGCCTTTGGAGTGTTACCTTAACTATGGTTTGGGTCCAGAGTTTTTTTTAGCCATTTAACGTTCTTACCTAATTGATTTCACACTTAGTGATTATTTGGCTGCTGCCGGGGTTTGCATTCGTCACTCTCTTAAAATCTGTTAAATTACTGTGATGTACAAATCATGATTTATAGGCCTACGTATCACCGTTAACTTACTTGGATGAAAAAACAACGAAGCGACTGTGTGACTCGTCAAGAAGATCGGGGCGAACTCAATACTATTTTGCCTGTTGATAAATAACACACAAGTTGTGTGGAAGTGAATTACAGTATATAGGCCTACAATTTTAAATAAATACATTTAATAGATCTAAAAACCTAAACAATTTCAATGACGTATGTATTCGAATACCGGAAACTCCCTGGGCCGTTTATTGTTGAAAAAGGTTTTTATGAGGCGTTTATTCGAGAAGGTGTTTATTCAAATAAATACGTATGTAAATTGTTTACTTTTATAGACTTAAGTAAAGTGAATAGCTTTTAATTAATAAATATAATAGATAGTATTTTTATCATCAATTACCCGCCACATAAATAATAACGTTCCTATATAATTGAATAATAATTTAATTGACTATACAGTAATCAAGTCGTTGTGCGGGTACATTCTATTAATAGAGGTTAGGCCTATGCATATCGCAAGATGATGATGAATACCTAATTTTCATAGTAATTATAAAACGTTTTTAAGTCAATTAAAAAACTAAATTGCTTTTACTTCTGTCGTAATGGAAGTTGATAATTTCTTTGCTACTATGAACAATTTTATTTTTTTACTTTTAGGGGATTTTTTCTGTCAAAGAGATTACACCGTATACACGATATATTTAACAAACCATTGAGAAATTGGTCGAAAAAATTGAAATTACAATAGGCCTATTACACAGAATGTAGATGTTAGAAACATTACCCCTAGAGGAATTAGACTATAATATTGATTGTTCAATTTCAAAGTAAGTGAATTATGACCCAATTTGGGCCAAATTTTCATTCCATTGATTTACAGGCGTTTTATTGCAGAAATTATTAAACTGATTATGAGCCGCTAAGTCTGTGCAAATAAAAATTGTATTATTATATGTTTGTTAAAATGAAATTTTTCAATGAAAGGTATTAACTAGCAAGTAAATAATTCAAACATTAAATTCAGTTAATTCATAACGGCCTTATGAACATGACTGACTGAACGTGGACTTACTGAGCGCGTAGCGTTCGTGTGAATCCTGGGTCACCATCTGTTTCCGGTGGCTTAATCGAAAGAAACAATCTGGCATTATGAACATATCAAAATAAGTTTATTCAAGATTAACAAGGCTTACGTAGCTCCGTCAATCCCATGATGTACTATACTACAATATGTATTCTGCAATCCATGTATTCTGTGATCTCATAACGTGATTTCGTTTCATTTTTCATGTCATTTATTTATTCGACCATAAACAATAAAAAGAACAATAACAACAAGAAACAACAAAACGATGGTCAGGGACATCTAAAGCAAATAAATTACTGTACCTCAAAAGAGTCAGCTGCCCCTTAAACATGAAGTAACATGAATATTGCACACAATAGAAAGGGGAATAAAAATGTATAAAAAGCCCTAAACAATTAAAATAATTAATTATTAATCTATATTGCAAATTAACAACGTTCCTTTAAGACTACAACAATATTTTAAGATTATTTAATAGATGAATTGATTGAATTATTACGGTTTCTATACATAATTTAATAAAATTATGGTACAAGAGAAAAAAATATGCCTACATGAACATTGCACACAATAGAAAAGGATATAAAAAAAATATTATTAATTATTGATTTATATTGCCAAACACGGTGGAACAAGTTAACAGTGGAACTTCTAAACGGAAGAGTACTGGCATATTGGTCTAAATAAAAGGGAATCAGGATTACTACAATTAACTAAGGGATGCATTAGATAGGTGTAGACGAAATATAATGTATTTATATTATACCACCGGTGCCATTCACAATCATCCATGTCACATTAACTAATTAAATGTCTTGACCAACACTTCCAATTTAGGCAAATTTACATTGTCGGAAGAATTAATTTTATTGTTGAATTTGTCCAAATAAGATATAATATGTGGAATTAGCTGTTGACGAGCATATTTTAATTAAAATGGACACTGTCGATGAAACCTCTGTCAGCAAGCTGTCTGTTGACGAAACATCCTGTCAGATAGCTTCAGAGAGGCTGTCTGAACATTATTTACAAGAGACACAATGGATCACAATACAATTAATTATCAAACCATTTACAGATTTACTTCTAAGAAGACTTTGAAGATTTACATGCATATAATTAATAAGCAAAATTTCCTATAAAAAAGTGTCATGTTTCATTGCTTCAAGTACAAAATAAGTAATTTAACCACAAATTTTCCACTTGTCAATTCCTCAATTCTGTTTATCACAGTTTTGTGTTTGTGGTTCGAAACACACACTATACTATTATACCACTCAGTCATACCAGGGAACAGCTGGTTAAATTACTTGTAATTTAACTGTTCCCTGGTCATACCGGTAATAAATATCAATTCACCATTCATGCTTTATCATTACTATTGTCACCATGGGATTTCATAAATACCGTAAACCTCGATTTAAAGTTTAATGGACTTAATCACGAGATGAAGCCCATCTTGCATTGAAGCCCCCTCTTTAGTTTGTAAAATTAGCCTAAAAAAAAGCCCATGGGTTTCTTTTCAAGATAGCATAGGCTTTTTTTTTCGAGACAGTATACACTGTACATGAATTCCAAAAAACAAAATAAATTGAAAACTAGCTTGGTTTATACAGTAGTTTTGGTGATTTAATGCCAGTTAAATACACTCCATGATACAGATTGACAATGACCTTATTTATTGTTTCATAGTACGTATTCACAAAATTCACAGCATTCATTTTGAAAAGAAGCTCACCCCTCCCCC